AAATTTAGAGTCTTGTTTGATATATGAAGATGACTGTTTGTTTCCAACTTTTTTTCTCTCTAAATTCTAAAACAGAGCTGAAAAAAATGTTAATTATATACAAAACTTACCTGTAAGTCACCAGCACTGCAAACCCTCCTCATCTGACCGCCACCGGAAAACCCGTTTTCCGGCGAGCTCAGAATTTGTTTCTGCAAATTCTGGGACTCCCAAACAGAACCCAATTGAGGCCGAAACTCGAAATTCTTCATCGTCTTGTCTTCAAAATTACTGCTGTAACTTCTCTGAATGAACTTAACGGAGCCGGTGTAGGCCCCATCAAATCCCTGTGGCGAAGAGAAGTTTTGGAAACCGGAAAAGTCATCGAGGCTGACTTGGCATTCCTCCGTTTTCGTACTGTACTCTGTTTTATCCAGCAAAACAGATGCTTTTCGGTCCATTTCGTTAACTGGGTTTGCATTTTCTTGGATTTGTTCGTCGTTAATTTCTTGGAGAAAACCGAATGAGTGGTCGGACGCGAATGTGGGGAATGGATCGGAAAAGAATGAGTTTTCGAACGTGAAAAGATCAGAGGACATTGTTGAAGATGCAATCTTTNGTTTGATGGAAATTATTGCTTTAGTGTTTGGAATGCTAGTTTTTATGTGGGGAGAAAGATGAGAAAAAAAGAAAAGATTAGGGGCAAAAATGCATTATAACTATGAAAACAGAGCAAGTGATGACAATTGACAGGTGCTGGGTTGGTTCAGAACATTTCTCTATCCCTTTCTGTACACTGAATTTTTGTCTCTTGCCTTTGTATCTCTTTCACACAGTGACACACAGAGTGTATTGGTAAAATAATGTGATTATTTACTGAAAATTTTGGAGCTCACACGAGAGAGCGAGTTTGAACTTTGAAGGGTCTGTTGCCTTCTGTTATAAAAAGGCCAGTGGATTTTCTAGGGAGGCCCTGTATTATTGATTATTGCAAGACGACCCCGATATTTATTAGAAATGTGGATTGTGGTGGGCTGTGGCTTTGAGCATATTTGGTATAAATTTTTTAATGGGGAAATATTACCTTTCCTATTTCTTGTTCGTACACAAAAAGGATGGTTCTTTTTCCAAATACAACTTCTTGTACAAGACAGAGTAAGTTAGATAGGTGGATCCATTTCATTTTTTTTAATAAAAGTTTAGATTTATACTAAGAAATGACATACTTTTGTT